TATAGAGAGTAAGTCTTTCTACAGGTAAAAATGAAACCTTTGCAACTATTATACCTGAACACCAGGTATCTCAGAGGAAAAATTGGCAACAGATAGTTGTGAATGCCAGAGCAGTCTCTACAACTAGCTACTCTTAAGAGGAAGAGCGCCAAGCTAGACGGAAGCATACAAAAGCCAACAAAAAGACATTTTCCCCTCTGCTTTTTAAGATTGCATAAACAGATCATGGGAGCACGGACAAAAAATTTATTGAATACAGGAAAGAGCCTCTTTTTTTTTCCAGGCCCAGACCATGGGTTCATTCACCTCACTAATAGCTGGTCCTGGAGTGAGAGATCTCCATGCTGTCCACAAGACAGCTGAAATTACACTTTTTTCACAGGCTAGCAAACTGTTACAAGCCACTAGTGCACCTTAATGTACAGTACAATGCCCACGGTACATACAAGTAATGCACAAGCCTGAAAAAAAATCTCAAAGCAGAGGGAAGGGTTGCAGGGTTGTGTTTATTCTGCAAATATATCCTGCCATACCCTTGCTCAGTAATCTCAATACTGTATGTGTAAGAATGAAACGGTGATTTAATTTGGTTCTGTCAGCACCTAAAGTCATTGCCATTTACAGTAGTGTGTATTCTGTATATATCGGCTACTGACAAAGACATTTGGTATTTTCCTTCTAGTTTTTAACTCTCTCCCTCCCAAGATACAAGCATCCATCAAAGCATGTGTGTTACGTGTCATCAAGTTGATACCAAGTTATCGTGACCCTAATATGGTTTTCAAGGTTAAGTGAAATATTTAAGGAATGGTTTCATCAGTTCCACTAATCTACTCCCCCAGTGAATGTCCGTGGCCAAGCGGGGATTTGAATCCAGGCCTATGGAGTCTTAGTCAAACTCAGTAACAGTCCACCAATAAGGTTAACTCTATTTATATTTCTGCTAGTGTATTGGAGAATATTAGTATTAATCAAGTATGTATAACACAAATGAATCAAAAACAAGAATGTGACACTTTGAAGATGAACATGGTTACTTCTTTTAAAAGACTCCCGTCCGAAATGTGTAGAGAAAAGGGGCATTTCAGTGTCTTCTAAACACTGAAATATTGATGAACTGGAAAAAATCGACCAAGTCAATAAGATAAGACCTTTAAAATGACCTCTTGGGGACACAAGGAAAAAGTGGGTGAGCATTTGAAATGTTTTAAAACAGCAGACTGTACTTTTAATTTATTGCTGGGGAAATCTGTATTATATTCCTTGGCACAAGAGGAAAACCAGTACGGTCTTGTGTTCAGAGCCATGTACAAAGTCCACCATGGCCTCTGTGGGTGGTCTTAAGCAAGCCTCTATTTCTGACACCCAGTTCTTCTTGAAATAGGTGGCTGTAAAAATGACAAAACAAAGGACAGTGAAGCACTTTGGAACACTAAGAGCATGACAGAAGCAAGACATTTAAAAAAAAAACACATACAAAGACATTGCTACCTAGCCACAAAGACCAGCCTTAAGCATCACCTGCAGAGGAAGCAATGAGAGCGGTTCCTCAAACTAAAACTATAGTCTCCTAGTATTAAATTTACATCTATTCTAGGTCAGCATCAAAGGAATACAAAACTTAAACAGAAACTGAAAATTCAGACCCATCCTGCAAGTGCTTATCCAGATGTTCTGTTTGACAGCTTCACAGAATCACAGAGTTGGAAAGGGGCCTTGAAGGCCATCAAGTCCAGCCCCAATCAAAGCAGATTTGACAAATGTTTGCCCAGTTTTCTCTTGAATGCCTCTAACTGGGTAGTTTGGGCGGCATATAAATTGAATAAAATAAAATAAAATAAATAAATAACTTTGGAGTGCTCACCCACAGTTAAATGTCCCAGTAAATTCCCAGTCTGTCTGCATTAAGAGCAATGGGAAACAGGTACACACTACATTATGAATCAAGCCTGGGAAACAGAAAATTGTAACTTGGCAGGGGTGGCTGACGACGGCGAAGAGAAAACATGGTTCTGGGAACAGTACAAATGGAGAGCAGAAGACAAGGGGGCAAAGCCAATCATCCTGCAAAAACTCCCAAAACGAAGACACAACAGAAATGGCTGTTTGCCTGTATTCTACGATATTCCCCCAAGAAGAGGCAAAGGATAACAGGGGGAAAAATCCTGAAAGCTTCTTGAAAAACTAAACATTTTTCCAATGAACTGCTGTCAAACATTCCTGCCCTGCTTCTCTCCTCTTGTATGAGGTTGTGTTTCTTTTTTGGGGGGGACCCCAAAAAAACTAAAAATCTTTTTTAAAACAACAGAAGAATGTGTGCAGTCCAGTGTCAACCTCGGCATTAGGCAATGCTAAGTTTTACAGTAATCTGAAGAAATGACACATATCCATTTAAAAGGGCAGGGCATCTTTCTTCAAAAAGAGACAGCCCTCCGACAACTGATCTTCTACAACTGAAAACAGGAGGCAAATGCCATACAATACAGGACAGATACTGACAAGGAAGTCAAAGACATGCTGTTAATGCCTCTCCTGCTGGTTCCAGGACGAAAGGCTAACAACCAAGACAAAAACTACTGAGGAGGAACCAGATGCCCAGGGAATGAACCATTCTAGACCCAGAAGGTTCAAGTTTCTATATCTTTGAAACCAATGTTTCTGGGATTCAAGAGGAGCAAAAGGTTTGGCTGGCAGACATCTTGTAGAGCCATGATTCCCAGCCTTGGGTCTCCAGATGGTCCTGGACTACGACTCCCAGAAATCCTAACCAGCAGAGTTAGTGATGAAGGTTTCTGGGAGTTATGGTCCAAGAACATATATGGGGAAGCTAAGGTTGGGAACTACCATTTTCCAAGAATCCGACAGCTGCCATCTAGTCCTAAACAGTAATTAAAGAGCTCCACTAATACAGTAGTGCCACCAATTTCTTCCTCGTCTGAACCTTAACATGCAGTAATACAAAGATTTGTTGCATGGGGGCAAGAAGGGGAAAAAAAAAAACACAAGCCACAACTCCACTACCAGACACCATAGAAGAACAGGTGGAACTCAGAATGGCATTGCCATCGGAAGGGGCTCGTGATCTCTGTACTTGGGTTCATTCTTGTGTGACTATTCTTACGGAATATCTCTCTGCTATAGGAAAGTGCGTAAAACACACTAGGAAACCAAATTACCTCACCTCAAAGTTCCCTTGGTGGCAGAGAGAAAATATAGGATTGTTACTATCATTACTTGTACAAGGTGTGTAACACATGCTAGAACAAGCAGGCCTCTGCCTATAAGTGCACAGTCTAAAAAAAAATATAAAGGAAGAGGAATGTGGAGTCAAGAAACCCAAGGACATACAGGACTTAGGACTGATGAGGAGATAGTGGTGGCACATACAGTCCAGGGTGTGAGAAGCAGCTGTTTCTTGACAGGGCAACCCTTTTGCTTTCCCAACCAGGAGCTGTCTTGATGATGGCTCGTGCGCCTACACAATGTAAACTGGGTTGTTCCTAAGGCACTTGTACGTCCATCTTTCCATCAAACAAACCTGACGCCAGTTGCTAAGAATCACTCTAACAGGCGAGTCCACCCTGAAGAAACACCCATTGTAGCAACGCATCAGGTGTGGAGGATTTCACAACCTCTAAAGCCAGAGCTGTGTTGTACAGACGCATGGGGCAGGAACACCCCTTACTTCTCATACCAATGTCAGGGCATGATACTGCTATTTCTGTTTGTGGAAACCCATACGTGCTTGGGTATAGGATTCTGTCTAATACGACGGGTGTGCACAGCGCCCTGTTTGCAAGAAGGGCTAGGAGAGACATTTTGGATGTGCCTTTGTGGACCGTCGCCCTCTTGGCATCTGACGACGTGAGAACTCATGCCGAAAGGGACAAAATAATTTGTCCCCAGGCTCTTTCTATACAGGTGTGCAGTCCGTATACGCTAGGGTGGCCTAGGTGGGTGGGTGCGCGCGCACACACAAAAGGGACGTCATGTCAATCGTCTCTTCACTTTGAGCATCTGCAAAAGGGAGAAGAGGGGGCTGGACCCCTGTGAGAAACCCTCCCCCCTTTTACACCAGCGGAGCAAATTTTATCCGGCTGACACTCCAGGGCGGTGCGCAAGACAGGTATCAAAACCGAATCCATTCCCACGGAGACCCCCCAGGAGAGCACAAACTACCCCCCCTCCCCACAACCCCTCTTTGCCCCTGATCCCTTTGGGGGGGCAGCCTCTTTGTCCCTCTGCCCTACCAAGAGGCTTGGCTGGGTGGGGGGCACAAATTATTCCACAGAAGAGATGACCCCCCCAACCACAGAGGTGGGGGGGCGGAAGAATAGGCTGGCTCTTTGGACCCCCAACCAAATTAATAATAATAATAATAATGAGGAGAGGCAGAAAAGTGAATATTGGGGGAGGGTTAAAAAAAACCCCACATGGGTGGAAAAAAGGGGGAGCCGAGGCCAGGCCTGGGCCTCCGTGTCGGGGCGGGCCGAAGGGGTGAGGGAGGGGAAGAAGGC